CGAGGATCTCAGTTGAAGGTAAAAAATCCTGTTGACGAGTCGGACGAGTTTACCTTAAGTTCTATCAGATTCTGAATCTCTTTGCCAACAGTGTCCAATTTATTTCGCAGAGTGGTTATCTGGTCTGGGCTCAAGTACGGATATTGTTTCACCGCGGTCAAAGCCTTTATGTGATTCTTTCTCCCGTGTATCTCCGCGGGTAATTTTTCACTCGCGACTATAGTCTGAACGGTGATCACCTCGGACAAACGTTGCAACAACGACTGTACAGTGACTTCGTTCGTGTCTTTCTTTAGAATTTCCAATTCCCTCTCCAATCGTTGCAAGTTGGTCTGCAAAATTTTTGTTAGAACTGAATCTAATGTGTTGAAACATTATTGCTTCACTCTGCGCGAGGTAAACTAAACTCATAGAATGATAATTATAACTGTTGTTACATCAACAACAGTTTTTTATAAATTTAAATTGTTCAGAGCCTCTGTACTTGTAATCTGGATATTATCTCTCTTTCTTGCTCCTCTTGCAGCGCAAGATCGCGTTCCTTGTCTTTCTCTGTTCGCAACGCTTGTGCGGCGTTCAACAAGTGCATCCCGCTCTCGGCTTTCGTTTTCATCTTCTCTATACGTATCGTTACCGCCTGAATCAAGTATAAAATTAAAGTTGGCTCACAGTCAGAAAAAAGAAAAAGAATTGAACAAAAATGTATGAAGAGGTGTAGCCTTACTTCTTTCTCCTTCTCCATCGTTTTCAAATCGGCAGTGAGCTCGCTGGCATTTTCGAAACTCTAATCGTGGAAATGAAACGTGGCAACAGAATTAGAAGAAGATTCGACAAATTTCGCGTCACAAGTGCACGCTACGAAACTGCTTGCGCAACTATGAACGATATACTGATCCTTTACCTTTCTACCGATCTCCCTTTCCTTGTGCACCGCTTTGAACTTATCAATCAAACTCGCGTACTGCTCGTACAAAGCGGAGACCTCCGGGTCGCCTAAATACTCGTCGGCCACCTCCAACTAATTGACAATGACGTCGAGTTATAACAGGGATAATTTCACCTGTGTATGTGTAAAAAATATTCTCAAGAGAACGTGTATACCTTCACTAGGAAACGCGATAAATAAACTCTTTTGCGGACGGTGTCTGTGTTAGACAGAAGCCAGGTCAGTATAGGATGAATGGTATCAGGATCTCCGCGAATCAGGCCCTGTCTGTCCACCCATAAATTCATCATGAATAAAAATAATAATTAAATCCATTTTTTTTTTTTTAATTATACTCACAAAAGTATTGATTTAATAGCTTTTAATATTTAAATTTGAAATACTGTTAAATACATCAACCGCTCTCAATGAGCATCTTAATTAATAAAAGAAAGGATGAAACGAAAAAGAAATTGCAGATTCTTGCCTGAAAGTCACGGGATCTGTTTGAGGATGATAATGAAGAACACGAAGGATGGACAAGATATAAATGGAGGTCTCTTCAGGAGTTTCGTTCTTTGTATCACTGGCATTGACATTTTGATC